CCCTTTCAATTCAAAATTTCCTATTTAGCTCAGTTTCTTTTCAATTCCAAATGCTGCACCTCTGACGGACCTATTAAGCTCAGTTTCCTTTCAACTCAAAAGGATGCATCCCTAACGGATCTTTTATTTGGCTCAGTTTCCTTTCAATTCAGAAAACTGCATCTCTGACGAATCAATTTAGATCAGTTTCTTTTCAAAAGTCTGCATCCCTGACGGATAATTATGCTCAGTTTCCTTTAATTAAAAAAATATCCCATTTCCATTTGGAATAAACAGGCTATTTTCATGCTTTCCTATACGCTGCGTTTCAAAACATTTAAATAGACTGACGAACCAATTTTGCTCAGTTTCCTTTTAATGGCTGTATCTCTGACAAATCTATAAAACTCAGTTTTCTTTCAATTCAAAAAGCAATGGATAACAGCTATTAAGTTACCGCGGGTAACAGCTAGTATGATAATATCTTATAAAATTACACTAGTTGCTAGCTATATTCCTAAAAAATTAAGAATCATCCACATAAAGGTAAGGGCTCATAATATGTTCATCAAATGACCCTTGTTAGTTAAGTTTACGACGGACTGTTTCCCGCTCCGCTTATTCTGCGTGTGGGCAGAAATAATGTGATTATTTGAGCCATGAAATCTCCCCGAAAAAGTTCAACAGTCCTTTGATGTTGTAAGCAACTTCGGGGAGCGATCCCAGCATGCCGAGATGTTTAGCCCTGCATGCAGCGACCTCCGGACATGTTTGCAACACGTGGACCGCCTTTTTTTCTCCCCCATACGTGCCCTGCACAGGGGACTATCTGTAACACCTATGGCAGGGGTGGCGAACCTTTATGTATCAATGTGCCATTTTTTTAAAGAAATGTTTAATTAGGTAATAAACGTGCCGTAAAATAATTTTGACTTCGTGATTATAAGGAAAATAATAGTACTAAATACTCTCGACTCAAAACTCTTTATTTACTACAAAAAATAAATAAAGAGTTTTGAGTTAGACATGTTATAACATATAACATAACATAAACACTCACGCCTGTCACCCAGAGGGGTAGGCAGAGACTACAGACTTCCATTTGGCACGATCCTGACACACCTCTCTCGCCTCCTTCACATCCATACACCTACGCATACATGCTCGTTTGGCCCGTTTTCAATAAATCGCCAATTTGGTCGATAAATTTTCGCCTAGGACGTCCCTTTCCGACTCTGCCATTCACTTCTGCAACATAAATTTTCTTTGTCACTCTTTCTTCATTCATTCTTTTTTTTTTTTTTTTTTTAAAAATGGGGAAATGCCTACGCATACCCGCCTCTCGGGGGCAAGGACGGGTTATGTCGGACTCGCACCGACTTTTTACTTTTTGTTCGAAAAACCCCATGGTGTTCCACTTTCGTCGCATATTGGCAGGGCTACGGGAACGCTTTCGCACACTTCCGCGGCCCTACCAGCGACTGCCGCCCCATGGCAGCACCTCCTCGGGAGAGGAATATTCCTCCCCGTTCTCCTTCCCAAGTAAGGCGCACCAGAACACATGGCACGCCTTCCTCCACGGCCTCCAATTCCATCTGCGCAACAGACGCCCCCGCGTCCGATGCGCGAAGGCCATGGGGCCAGGAAAAACGAGCACTTAGAAGTACTAGCCTTCCCGACCCCAGCGGCGGATCTGGTCTATGGCTCCGCCGCCAACCAAGATTCGGCTGCGGAGGATAGGGAGAGCGGCGCCTCGCAATACCGACAATCCTTTCCCCCCGCAGCCCCATCACCACCGCATCAACGGTGCGGCCCCGTTTGAGTCGCGGAATCCATCCATAAATAGGTTGAACAGCCACAGGGAAGCCACACAGCCCTGTCTGACACCTTTATGGATGTCAAACCAGTCCGAGTTGACCCCGTTGATCCTAACACAAGCACTAGAGTCCTTATAAAGAGACTCCAATACCTGTATCAAGCCAGCGCTCAACCCAAATGAGTTCGGCGTTTGCCATAGCACATCCTTATCCACTCTGTCATAGGCCCTTTCCAAGTCCATGAACGCACAAAAAACCTTTTGGATTTTGGCCAAAAACTTCTCCGCGATCATGCGCATGGAAAAGACTTGATCTGTACATCCCATTCCCTTTCTAAATCCCGCTTGCACATCCCAAATTTTTCCATCAGTTTCTTTCATGACCCTTTCAATCAGTACCTTAGCATACAGTTTTCCCACAATGCTAAGAAGGCTGATGCCACGGTAGTTTTTACAGTCCTGCTGCGACCCTTTTCCTTTATATACTGGGACTATCACGGCTTTGCACCAGTCTACCGGTACCCGCTTCAGTTCCCAGCATAAATTAAACAAGGTGTGCAGCAGGCCAGCCACGACTTCCTCTCCATCCCTTAGCATTTCGAGTGAAACTCTATCATATCCGCCAGCCTTACCTGCTTTCATGTATTTCATCTATACTTATCTCGCTACCTCTTTCCTCTTTTTTCGGAGTTTCTACTTCACTTAGTACACACATTGTCTCCTCACTCATAAACACGCTTTCAAAATATTCCTTCCATCTCTTTAAACTCAAAACTTCATCATTCAGAATATAGCCATTCTCGTCTCTTATAGCATTCATCATAGGCTGTTTTGAATGTCCCCTGGCAGTTCTTACAAGTTTCCAGAACATTTTAATATTTGCCTGGAAGTTATCCGATATTCTTCTATCATTCTTATCCGTTCTTTCTTTCTTTTTTCTTTCAACTACTTCTTTTACTCTCTTATTAAGATGTCTAAAGACTGCTTTTTTTCTTTCAATATCATCACTTGTACCGCTAGAATTACCAGCCTTTGTTGCTAGTAAATCTAGCCATGCTCTCTTCTTTGCTTCAACTTCCATACGTATCTCATCATCCCACCATAACGTATTATTTTTCCTTTCATTCTTTCTCTTACTAACACCACATACTTCGGTAGCTGCATCCACTAAACCTTTCTTTACGTTTTGCCATACATTCTCCAAGTCTAACTCCTTCAACTTCTCCACTTATATTTTCTTTCAGTCTACATTTGAACTTGTTTATCTCACCTTCATCTTGTGACCTTTCTGTTTTAATATGCTGTAACGCAGTGGTAGACACAGATGATCGATGGCGCCAACGCCTGAATAGACCATTAATTCGGCATAAAACCAAATAATGATCCGTTCCTACGTTAGAACCCTGGTAAACCCTTGTATCTACCACTGCGCCCCTCAATCATGCAATGTATTTTGCAATATATAATATTGCAAAATACATTTTAATAATAAATGTTTTGATTATGTGCATAATTCAAATGAAAGTAACATTAGTGTGACTTCTGTTGTTGCAGATTAGATGACAAATAACTTATATAGGGGTTGTAGAATCCTAAATATAACACAAATGAATTTTTAAATACAGTTGTGTCAATGAATTAACTATTATTAAACTTTTATGCTGTTCTTAAACAAAATATGCATTCCTTGTGGAAGGCATGGACTCGTGAAGTGCTGTAATGATGATGATGAAACGAACTATGCTTCATTAGTAATAGTAGTCAACGTTGTAACTAGGATCACTCGCGTTTGTTCGTAATATAATACTTCAGAGTGAACTTTGTGATTGGTAGTGTGCCCAAAATATTGAGTCGCATGCCAATGGTTCGCCATCCTTGACCTATGGTAAACAAATGTTTGTTAAAGGAGCCATGTCCTGTGATAGCACTTGTTACTATCCTGACCTGTGGTTTGTTCAATCTCATTAGAACTTTGGTTAGACAACTGTTTATTTTAGACAGGGCCTCCCTAACTTGTCTACAGTCTACTAGATTTTTCCAAAGCTGAGCGTGTAGATTAGTAAAGTTTCTATGTACCAGTGAACTAATGTTAAAAGGGGTTTGGTGTTATTGGTTCTGGCCTGGAGTGGCTAGAGCCAATCCTCTTCAGGCTAGTTCCTCTGCTGTATTGTTGCCTCTGGATCCACTGTGTCCCTTAATCCATTGCAGAGTCACATTCTTGTGCTTACACACCTCATTTAATTGTTGATGGCATTCATATCTTAGTCCCGAATTCCCCACATCACTTGACTCAGAGCTTGTAGTACCGCCATACTGTCAGTCAGCATTCTGATGGAGAGGAGATGATACCCATACATTCCACCTGAAAGACTGTGTTATGAGTAACCAGCAGTATACTATGTGGATATTAAGGTCTTCAGAGAAAGTAAGATCCTACACTTTCATTGGAATCTGTGAAAACTCTAAGCTGTTTTGTGTTTAATCCCTCTGGATGGTCGGTTTCATTTAATTGTATCTTATGTTTCTTATGGAATACAAATTATTTTGGGATCTTATCGCACTTGGCTTGTAAGGTAGGAATTTTTGAGTAAATTCCATTAATTATACCTGTATGAGGGACTCTACTCTTACGCAAAAGATTTAGGGTCTTGAGTCTAATGGCAGCATTATTCATACATTTCAGCCCGTCAAAAGGCCACTCCTGAACATAAGCATCCCCCATAGATTGCTTCTGAGGGATATATTTGCCATAGTTGTCATCATTGGCAAGCCTTGTAATAGAATGCACTTCCCCATATCCTCCCATGGGTATCGCGTAAGAGGCAAAAATGTGAAATGTAATGATGGGCAGCAGCAACTGATAACGACTAAAAATAATAACTGCAGTTGCCACCCCGTCTGCTGGGCCTGGCAACTGTGGCAAGCATCTGCTATACATGTTGATACATATCAATAACTTCTTTATTCTATGTTTATTTATGAATAAAATATGTGTCTTCAAGGCAAGAGTGAATACACTTCACTTTGTAAAGTGAAACTCGTTTGCTTTACCGTCTATGGCTGCATCACCACTTACCTACCATCCGGTGGGTTAGTAGACAAGCACTGGCTGATCATAGTTAAAAAGATGTATATACATATTCTAAAATATTTTGTCTTGCATTGTTCAAATACAATAATTATTTTTAAAATGCTTATATTCCAGAGCCTGATGATTCAGACAGCTTCTACAGAAATATCTACACAGGGCAGCGACCAAGTGCAATGTGGCAGTGCCATATGTGCACCTTCCGCAATCACGAGCTGCTGACCAAATGTGAGGAGTGCGAGATGCCCCGCATACTTGTAGGTATGTCTCCCTCCAGAAATCATGACTCGGGCTTTGGCTCGTTTAGAGATGGAAACCGAAGGGGAGTTTCACAAGGAACCTCTCTAGACATAACTGAAGTGAATGAGGTGCCCCATGTTGTAGACTCAGCGTTTCCTAGTGTGACACAAGGTTTATTGTCACAGAGGTTGTCACAAATTCCATGAAAAAATAAGTCATTCAATTTTGACGTTGTTCCTTCGCATTTGCCTTAAAAAGTGCCTATAATGAGAAGTTTAGTGATATGTAGTTTTGGTGTTGTAAACCACATAATGTTGAACTTTTTGAGATAACAGAACTAAAGTGTTGTTGCGTTTTTTAAACTTTAACCCTAGCATGTTTCTGTAAGCATGCCATTACAGTGTAAAAATGACAAATACAGTATGTATTTTGTTGCTTTTGTGTGTTTGCCGATTTGCAAAATTTGTTCCTGTTTTTATTAATGCGAATTGGGACAATTCTGCATGTGTGTCCATTTTATATAATTGACTGATTTTTAACCATTTAGGCTAAGCTTATGTTTATAACTTCATATTGGTTTATAAAGTACCAATATGGTACTTTATTTAAGCATACAATTTTTTAAACTTACAATTATGTGCTGTTTATACAATTATGTGTATATTTGGGAAGTAAAAAGCACAAATTTTAAAAAAATGTTGCATGAGCCAACATAAGGTAAAAATTGTGTTGAAATTAATGTGTTTTGTACATTTAAATATTAGATGTTATATGTTCAATGGAAATTAGTAGTTCTTATTGTTGTTTAAGTTAAATATTTATTGTATATATTATTACTTTGTAGGCTGAATTACATTTAAACATCACTATTTGACTGGTCAAAATATATGAGGCATCACAAGATCTCATTAACAAGACTATTGCTCCTTGCCAAAAATGTTTATGATTTTACTTAATTTGGAAAATGAAAAGAGTTTATATTTTTGCTCAAGGATCTATTTATTGCTCACTTTACAAACTGTAAAATTTCATAAAATAGTTGTATTATGTGACAGATCAACTTAGTAAATGGACTGTGATTAAATAATAGGGGTATAGTAAGAAAAACACTGATCCTACCAAACAAAGCTGAACCACCGCCATGTTGCTCTGCTAAGTGTTGTATGTACTCATACAAAAATCTATTCAATATAATTGTGAACTTTATATATTAGCCATTAACTATCTTATGCAACACTTAATTATCTGTAACCTTTGTGGAATTTGGTTTGTGACAAGAAGACATTATCAGAATTTTTTTGATGGTTGAAGTTATTTAAAAAAATCAATAGCAGGTTACATACATATTACGGATAAACAATGTTGGTTTTCAGGTTTGTGACAAAGATAATTATGTAATCTGTGTCAAGTTTCAATATTACAATATTCTTTTTTATTTAGATCTTAACTCAAAACAGTTTTAAAACAAAGTGTTTCATCTTGTTCTCTTTTGCAAGGACAAGTTGTGGAAACTATAACACATAGACAAGCTATCCCACGCCACATAAAGTAGTAGTGGTAAGTATCAAAATGTACACTGGAAAGTTATTTAAAGATCGTAATTTGAATAAAAATCTGTTGGCATAATAATAATTTGTGGTATCAAAACGATTTTGCCTTAATAAATGCCACTTATTATTATTACTCTTATTATATTTCCGTCCAAATGTATATGTTACGGTCTAAATGTGTATTATGTGACCAAAACAATAAGGCGCATGACAGCTAAGAAGTCATTAGAGCTAGGAAGGGTACACCAGAATGGTGCTTGATCGCTAGGGGAAGCGCGGGGATACAGGCAGAGTGCGGGCGACGAAACCGCGTCAAAGCGCATGAATATTTGTCATTAATAGGATTGGAACACTAATTTTTAACCTCTACTAGTAGGCACTCCTGACAACTCCAAAGAGCCAAGGAATTCTATAGAGCATGTTCTGCTTTTTATGTTTTTTTTTATGATAAAGGTGACAAATTTATACAGTTCACCTGATGGTAACTGGATGTGGTGGCCCGTAGACACAACTATCCTCGATTAAGAATCAAAATGAAGATACATTGTCATCCCTGAGGACTGACATATAATGCCTTAACAGCAAAAAAAGTTTCGACGGTTCTCTACAATTACTATACAAAACATAGCAGCATTAAGTTACAATTTTATGCTAGTGTTCTCTAAAAGTGAGGTCCTTAATAGTCTGGTCTCTGGAAATTGCTCTTTTTAAAAATTTTTTTTGCACTGCCGTAACTTCATTGCCTGTTTGTAAATACGAAGAGTTCAGTACGAAGAGGAAAAAAATAGTAAAGCAAACACATTCTTAAACAAAGATTATGCTCGAAACATATGTACGCTTATATTATATGCATAAATATTCGTCAGTTATTTAACTGAAATTTATTACAAAATTTATTAGAGTTATATTTTTAGGATGTTACCATTAAAAAAAACCAAGGTGAAATTGCATTGCAGTTGGTAATAAAATAATAATTGTTTAACTGATTATATATTTAAATCGTCTAAATTGAGCAATAGCTATATGGTAAGGTATTTGTTAATATAAAAAGCTAAAATATCAAAAGTTTTATGAAGGAATTTCATTGATATGTAATGCTAAAGGTGCCCAGTTCTATACAAATTTTTTTTTTCGAAAGTGTATAAAACAAATGTCAAATACCTACGTACATGTTATCGAAACAATAAATGAAGAACTAATTTTAAACAGCCACACTTAGCGAGTTGCTCTGTTTTTGATCTTCGAGGCTATTATTTGTAATGTTTTTTTTTTTCTCATTTAAATAGTCATCGAAACCTTCTTGCTTATTTTACAAATACACTTATACTGCCGTCAGTCATGTTTTGTATGCCATACTCCATACAAAGTGACTGACACGGCAGCTAACTGATTATAATCACTCAGGCTAAAATAAAAAGTCACTTGACAGCCATTTTTCATGCGCAAGAACTAAGATTTTTAAAAATCAATATTTACGAAATAAATTTCACTGGCTATGTTATTGCTGAAAGGGTAGATCACTGTGATCATAGTATTTCTTGTTTCTGTTGTGCTTATTCTGAAATTACTCAAATTTGTGAGAGTCCATCGCGATCGGTACCACCGCCTTATGTGTTTCTGCCATTGAGTTATATGTACTACGTACTAGAGAAGCTATTCCAAACAAAAAATGTGCATTACTCTGTAACCGCGCATGCGCAGGAAAGAGTAGTCGCGCATGCGCAGTTGATATAAACGTGCGAAAATTGTCATAATAAATAATTGTTGATTTAGATTCTATTGTTAATCGAGTACATCTATTTTAATTTTCGTTTATTTTGCATATGTGCTAATTTAATATAAAATTATTATAAGCGCCGCTCCGCACTGCATGCATATCAAAGCCACAATAACAGATGTACGGATTGCAGTACAGTTCAGTTGAACATAGAGCGCCTGCACTGTTGTGTTCTGATCTGAAGAGTATAGAGTATAATTAGAGGCTGAGCTATCCTACTTTGAAATACGCTGATCGACGTATCTTAATATATATATATTTATTTTGATCCGCGCATTTATACACCGAACAGACGGTTTTGAGCCGAAGATAGTGCATCTGTAGTAATATATACCAATAAAATTGTTAATGATCTAACTATTGTTATGTAGTGTAGGGTAATTATCATGTCAGTTATATTTAGATATAAATATGTTTCTTATCTAGGATTATATTTACTTGAAAAACTTATTTGTTGTCATAGTCATCGCTATGGAATTGAACTGACTGTGATCGGCGTAGGAATGTTTCTCTACATTTTAAACATTTTGTGTGTATTCTATATTGTTGAATTATTTACACTGGTTTATAAATTATTATTAAGGGTAGGCTTAAAAGTAAAATTGGGGATTGATGTGCAAATCCCAACTCATTGGATACTGGTACATATTATCTGGTATACAAATAGTCAAATAATGTTTTACAATCGACTTTTTGGTGGAAAGTAGAATATTTCTTTGATCGGATTCTAAGCCACTCTTACAAAAATATTCAAAGCAAATAAGGAATAAATATGAGCGAGAAACAATTGTATTGGAAACAGTGTTGAAATCTAATGAGAAAATCAATAAAACTACTTGCTTAAGCTTCTGAGACTTATTGACACTCACTTGGATTTTTAAATATTTATTTTCTTAAAAATATTCATAAAAAATCGAAAAATGATTTGCGAAAATTCTAAGAATAATTAAAACTAAGTCCATTTCTGCAGAGACAATATAAAAGCAAGCTTAATATAACACATGCAGGTGTGGAGTGGTAAATATTAGCATTTTATTACATCACAATAAGGTACTTAACACGAACACCAATTAATTAATATTTTTATATTAAGTCGAAACTTAAAAAAGATTTGAATATTGTAGCATAATGGTATTGTCCTATAAAAATATGCACGTGAAATAAAAAAAATCACATTTGTTATATGAGATAGTTTAAATGTAGTTAAAATATTTGGGTGAGCGAACCAACTTTTGTTGAATACACTTAGAGAGTAGTAAACATTGTGTGAAAATAAATTTAAATTGAATTAATTCAATTATCTACATATTGTTAATTTGCTGCAACACTGTTTTATCTCAAAAATCCTGACTTTTCAGAAAACGAGTTTAAAGGTTTCAAATGAGCGTGTTATCCTTGTTTTTAAAATTCTATAGTAAAGTTTTATGTGATTTTTTAAGTAATGTAGTTTTCATAGAGCTAGAATTAAACTATATTCTTCGTACATATTTTACGAGAAAAAACCATTTCAATAATAAAAAGTGTAAAAAATTACAATTTATCACGTTGTTCCTGAAAAAACCTAAAATATATTATGTAACTTTATAAGATAACACATTTTAGGTGATATTGTGTTTTTCTTTTGTTAAGTGTAACTGATTAAAATACTTTTTTGTAAAAAAAATTATTTTGAACTTATATTGTAACACAGTGACTTGAACACAATAATAGTATTAGCTTTTCTTATTTTACAATAATAAAAATATCTTGTTTTAGTTAGTTGACATAACTTATGGCTATAGTAACTACTTGAATTTGTTTAAGATGTTTTCTATTATAATATTAAAAACTATGAGATCATAAAGTCAGTCATAATTTATGTATCACCATACTATTAATTATCACAATAGTTCGAATCGTTCTGAAAGTAGAACTAAAAGTAAATTAAAACATAGCTATCAAAAACAATAAAAATTAAATCTTTAAACACAAAAACAATTATAAAGCTTCAAAGAAAGGCCTATAATATCTTGGAATGAAATTTTTTTCTACTAATTCCATTAGATCTGTTTTTTTTCTCTCCGATATTCCGGGCTTAGCTTCATATGCTTTTGATACGATAACATCTATCTCCCTTCGTCTCTTTATGACTACCGCTTTCTTGTACTCCTCTTCGGAGTATGACCTTTTGAAGTATATAACCCGAGGTTCATTTTTCAAGAGCTTTATTATCTTCATCTCACCAATCATAGCAAGCTGGTTTTCATCATCTTTCTGCAGAATTACACCCATTTGAGTACATACGTTCTTCCAGTCGTAGATGTCGTCATAGCACATTTTATTTACTCGAAAAGGTTCACTCTTCTTTCCGGCTGCCTTGATAGCACCGATGAAGGCATCAGGTGTGTCATTGGGCCACTTCTTAACTGCCTTTTAACTTGTTTCTCAATTTGTGAATGAGCCGAGTCCCCTTCGTTTTTGGTATGTCCTTTAATCAAGTACTTGTGGGTAATAGCCCTGATATTTGATAACTTTTGCAGCGCACATAGGTACATGGAAATCATGAATTTGTTTTTTTGTTGACCTGCACAATTATCCGAATAAAATATGACATCAATGTCTGTGCCAGTCTTATTCATCGCTTCCAAGTACCTATAAACGCAAGTCGCAATTTCGTTAACGCCTCTTTTTGCGTTAGATTCGTCCCATACATAACATTCCACAATATTTGTGTGCAGATCATAAATTGTAAAGTTTAGTACGTTAAGCTTACATAAGTAATAAAGAACGGAGATTTCTCCTTTTGGGCACTGATGCACTGCTTGTAAATCGTACACAGACACTTTAACATTCTTGTTAGCTTTGTCTTTTTCTTTTTCGGCACGTGATAGCTCTTTTTCTTTATGATATTTTTCATAACTTTATTTAACTGTTTCTCTTTCTTCATAATTAATATTTTAAACGCTTCGCAAGTTTCGCACAGATGAAGTCATGTGTGAAAATGCGGTAAAACATTATATAATTTCCATAAGGAGCATTATTTTTTTTACACATCTCTACATAATCCTTGTGATGGTCAGCCACACTCTTGCTTCCGTCAATATAATGCCTCTTTGAGTGGGATCGTATATAATGAGATTCAATTTTGGGTATGGTCTCAATAAATTCATTTATGGCTTTTTTAATTTTTTCATCAACTTTCGGTTATTTTCCATGACATCCTCTATTGTCTTTCATGTCGGTTATGTTGGTAGTCTTATTTTTCTTCTTCATAGCTGTATCTATTTGTCGACTATTGATCCCTAATGTGTTTTGGAAAAAGAGCTTGCACACTCTGATTTTTGTACCTGAAACAGTAAAGTAAAAAGCCTTTTTATTATTTCGCTTAGGTGTTTTGGCACGACATCTTTCACAGAATTCGCAATAAAACTACATTGTTTTTGAATACTACCCAACTTCCAATAGTCTTCATTTAGTTGCAGCCGTTGACTTTCACTAATATTTGTTCCACATTTGAACTTACATGAACCTTTACATGGTTCCTTCAGATGACGTTCCGATATAGTTCTTCTTGTTTTACTTGACTCGTATTCTTTTCCATTATTTCGTATTAGCGGTGTTTCTTTTCCAGCCTTCTTCATTTCTCTGTCTTTTTCTTCCCCTTTTTGTTGGAGTTAGAGTATTTGTAGGTGCTGATTCTGTCGTTATGTTAGTTGAACTTGGTATTACTTCCATTGTAGAAGGAGCTATGACTTCCAAAGTTATAGATGTAGGCGCATCTAGTATTACGTTATTGGCTGATATAATGGATACAGGTGAAATTACCGAGGGAGATTCTGATCTCCTTTTTGGAACTGTATTTGTTGGCTCTTCTGGCGAACAGTATTCTTCTTCATCAGAACTACTATCAATTTGTACTTTACATTGTGGTATAATGGTATAATTTGGGTCTTTAACTGAATCATCAGATTCTGAAAGGAAAATTAATTTGCTGATTTTTATTTATAGTTATTTATTAGTTGAACTGAAATATACTTTAAAAATCTAAGCTAAATACCTTCATAAAATGATATACTCGATGATGACAAACTGCTGCTAGAGTCGATGCTCGAAGATCTAACCGAAATCTGCCGAGATTTTCTAGCGTCTTTCTCTAGTTCATCATCTTTATCTGAAAATAAGTTAAATTTCTCATAACTCTTTCTTTATTTTTTTAGGAATTTAGTCAAACTCACTATGTCATCCCCGTAATTCCAACAACTTACAAATACCTACCAACGTAAATACATAATTACATGTTTTTATTACATTAGTCAGGTATTGTTTTAAATGTATTAATAATGCAGTGGCATTAGGCAGACAACCAATATTTTATTCGTCTTTTGACCTTGTCTTTCCTGTGGATTAAGCTAAAAAGATATTATAGGTATTGCGTATTTTTAAAGTCTACCATTTAAAAATACTACCAAGGTGGTGGGCTATCCACGACTATAGGTCATTGGTCATTAACTTCTTCTTATCAGTTTGTATGTTTTCTTTATTAATATTCTCTTTTTCAGCTCCATTATCATTAATTAAGGCCATTATTTTCTTGGACCGCGACCACATTTGCAACAAAAATAAAATCATAATTTTATTCCGTTTATCATAAACAGCGCGACAGTATGGATATCATTGGCACCTAACAAATTATTTATCCAAAACAACGTTATATTAGTAGATCACTCACATTAAACAATCTATTTAATGTTTTGTATTGACACCTACAACGATTCATTGGAATATGGCACAGAAAATATTTTTATTTTTGTTGCAATAGTGCGATAATTAGGCCATTAACACAACAATATGATACTAATATTTTTCAGCAAAGGTGTGCTAAGTTAGAATAAAACGCTATAGCATTAAATAATAAGTTACAATTTCTACTTACCTTTGCAACAACAGCGTGACGAAATCGTATTAGCGCGTTTTTGTAGAAATCCGGGAGCACTTCCACCTCTGACTGCTCAAGTATAACTGAGATGGCGCGTTTTCGAAATAACTCGCCAAAGGACGGAGACAGCGGTACAGCGCAATAATTATGTCTCTTTCTTTGATTGAATGGCGTAAAAATTAACGCGTTTTTGCAGCAAATAGATCGCATTGTGACGATTTTTTCTACATTATTAGTTAAAATCACCACTTTTTCGAGATAAAACATTATTGCAGCAAATGAGCGATATGTAAACGAAGAACAAAAAATTATTACCAACTAATTTCACAGCGGTTGGTGTCTCCCAAGGTTCTGCACTAGGTCCTTTTTTATTACTTTAAGTACCTGATGAGCACTGAATAAATTTTGAAGCATTCACGAAATTCATAAAAAGTATACTTTATCAAAGCACAAAATTAAATGTAGGATTTTGTTATCTTTACAGGTTTCTAGTATATTTTGTAATAGATTATGTAGATAAATATTTTAATATAAGTGCAATGTGATAGCTTATTTCTGTATATTAAGGTAATAAAATGTTGATCAGTAAATTCATGTGATTTGATTCACATTTGTTTACTATAAAGATCTCGAATGTTTTTTAACAAAAAGTTGTTTCCATTGCATAAGCTTGGTGTGACTGGTTTTATAAGGTAAGTTTAAATTTAAGTTAATCCCTTTAACATGATGTTGTCAGTGGAATGTTGTGTTGAGTTTTCGTTTGTTTTTTTTTTAACTTTTTATTGTACTTTTTATATACATATTTTATATATTTGTTTCTGAGAATTGTATTCTTTTGTATGCAGTTCGGGCTCCTGATGGAATAACAGTTCGCCTCGTACCACGTCGGCGGAGTAAGTATATGAATATAAACTAAAGAATCACACATAAAAAGTGAATTGTTTGATATAAATTTATCTGTAGATTACTTATTGGCACAGTCGGCACATCTCAACGCGAAATTTTTCATTTCCAGAAATTGTGCGGTCGTGGGTCTTATGAGACGCAATGAAAATTATTAAGTTTAAGTAACACTAGACTATCTTAAGTGCAGTAGCAATTAGTAAAAATTTGATTCTGTGATATTCGCATTTGGTTTATTAGAAATATTTAAAAGTCTGACTTGTTGTTAAAAATATATTTTCTGGTATAACACATTCCAAACAGAACAATGGCGAAGGCTATCATCTAAACCGAGCTTAAATAAATGAGAATGAATAGATAAATGGGCATTTGGGTCAAAATGGCATTTGTATCTATGATGGGTGTTGCGTATTAAGAGTATTTGCGATGAAACAGTCTGCGCTAAGTTTCTGTTTTAGGTATATGATTCGTAAAAAAAATCGTCTCCACTTCCTCTTTAGTTCCTTCCTATTCTCATTGAGTGCTCTGTCGTACCAAATGCGAATAACTGTCCGTTATTTACATTTAAACACTGCTGCACTTAAGGTGGATAGGAAATTCTTAGATTAATAAAAATATATGTCTAGTAGAGATGTCTCCTTTCTATCAGTGGTATATATATAGTGCAGCTATTATGTAAATTACAATTTTTTTTAAATATTTATAGCAGTCCTAAAAATGGAACTTAATTCAATTGAATGACTGTGTTATAACATCTCGTCGAAATTTACATGAATGTAATGTAAACAATTTCAAACACTGTACAGTACGTAAGAAATGTAAAAACAAAAGAATCGGCAGGCCAGTTCGCCAACTTTGTAGTATATTTTTTACCATGTTTTTATTTTGGAATGTGTGAGATTTAGTAACTGATTTTAAACTAACTTCCCTATGATGTTGACTTGAAATTTAAAACATCAAGCTGAGTCTGATGACAATGTAAGATTATAAAACAGAACGTGTTAAATATTTAAAAAAATAATACATATTATAAAAAATCACAAGATTAACCGTGGTAAAAGAAAAAGGGCTGAAAGAAAAGCTACATAGCATACTACGTAATAGAAGTATATATATTATCGGCGTCTCATTCAGAGATATATAAAATGTAAGTAAAATTCCGTAGTTCCCGTTAAGGGGAAATATAACTTCAAATGGCTTAGCAAGATCCTCCGTTATGCCGAAAATATGGCAGCATTAATTTTGAAATAAATATATGGTAAAGTTGAGGATTAATGTTAAGGACTATGTTAGACGAAAACACGATTCCGTAAAATTTTCTCGATAGAAAAAAAATCCAAAGTTACCTCCAAAATAAAAAATAAACCGCTGTTATTCATAAAATACTTTAAATAAGATCATGAAACTTTGCATACTAACTGAACTAATTATAAAGCAGTGCTTATGTTATTTACTTTTTTTTAAATACCATTATTTTCACTGTAAAAGGAAATTACCTAAACTATCGGCTTCTTGAAGCTTGATTCCTGCCGCCCGGTCAGTTTCGCTTCGGCCTTTGAAGGGGGAGGTTGTGTCGCTTACGATCTGAATACACATTACGCAACAGGACGACGTTAAATTAAAATGGGAAATAACCGTAATAAAAATAAGAAGCGACTAGGTTGGCGTTAAGAAACAGGCATAAATATAATAAACCTAATGAAATAAGTATCTAACAACCTATCTACTTACAGCATTAGTGATTACAAACATGTCGGTACATAGCATACGACGCGCGGGGAAGTGGGGGCGAAATTAGAATTTGAGCTGACTTACTATATCCTCTTAACTGCGTTATGAGAATTCAAACCACAAAAAAATTAATTTAATTCAAACCATTTTTATTTTCAAATTTTTTTATTATATTACCTCTAACTGACACATATGTATACATATGTAAAGCAGTATCTTTGTTAATCTTCTTACTCCGCTGACAATGCAGAGCTAATAAAACCACATACAATTTGAACATTTTTTTAAATTAAAGGTAAAATTTTTAATGGTCGATTTTTCTGAAAAAAGTTATATACCTATCTATCTACATGTATACCCTCAGACTTTAACTTCGATTCTCTTGCGGCTCCTTACACGAAACCATTAGTTGGCACTTCATTATGTCATCGATTCTTTGTAACTAACACAACTTAATGATTTAAAAGTTAAACTTTAAAGATACAGTGCAACCCTGATATAACAAATTTAAAGGGGATTAGAAAATATTAGTTTCACCTTCGAAAACCTATAGAGGTTATGTTGGTTTAAGTTCACCTTGCTAAAAAGTTAAGAAATAGTATATGTGTTTTAGATACTTTTATTTACATATATTATATATGTAAATAAAAGTACCTAAAACACATTGTAAGATGTGCTTTACAACATTAAACATTAATTTATTATGACAGTTTTAGTTCTTATAGATTGTCTTACGATAAATTGAACATGTCTTTTTAACCGACTTCAAAAAAGGAGGAAGTATTCAATTCGACAATATTTTTTTGTTACCTAAGAACTTTTTTCTATGTAAACCGATTTTGATTTGATGATGATAAGCTGATGCTTCTAATGTGGTCCCATATAAATTTGATCAAGATCTGAGTAGTAGTTTTTGAGTTATCCTTAATAATGCATATTTAATTGACTTGGACTACATTGATGTTCTCGTTTTATTTATATTGAAGTCGATTATACAATATTTTTTATTTTACCACTTGTTCCAATTTATTTCCAAGTATTCTAAAAAAAAAAACAAGTAATCCCAAAATTTACATCCAATTCCTTTTAAAATGATATACTATAATATAATAAAGCTTCTGCCACTACTTGTAATACCTACCTACCTGTTGTACGTAAGTACTGTGCACTTGCATTAAATTGACAAATGATAAAAATATCAATACAAAATATATAAGACAAGATCTTTACATAGCTACATCAATATTACGAATATTGTATATTATTCTTATTTAGAAGTATAACTTAAGAAAATATTTTAAAAAAAATGTAATGAATTGGAAAATCTACATAATGTTGGAGATTAGCGCTGAATTGAGCAAATAGTGAGACAATACGAGACGTAAGGCCCTTGTGGCGGAACCATTTTATTTATTACAATAATATTGCAGCAATGAGGAAAAAGTGACTCCAGGCTATCGCCGTACTGATTCGAGTGAATACATAATTTCTATAAAAACTTGAAAAAACGCCGTCATAAGGTCTAAAATTGCGTAGCGCCCGCGACAAATAAAACCGCTTAAAATTGTCATAATCTTAAAATATTTTTTTTATAAAATTATTGATTTGAGTAATCAAAATAATGAGCAAGTAAATTATGAATAATGATGTTATGAATATATTTAAGTGATTCCCAAGCATATAGATTAAGTAATTTCGTTGTAACTTCAACTATAGTCATTTTTTAGAGGTGTTTTCGCAAATAATTATGATCGAGTCAAAATTATACAATCGTGTTTTTGAACAATCAAATTCAAGATAAATACATGAATTTACCTATATCAACATTCCACTTTCGTTAGTGGTGTCATAGTCCTATACTATTCGATGAAAGGAGGTGAATTTTTTCGCGGTGTCGCCTTAATAATCTTCCGCTCAACAGATGTCGCCAGTTGACACTGAGGTGAAGTTTTTTTGTAACACAATGTCATTTAATTGTTAAGTTAGTTTTAAATAAAAGTTGTTTATCAGTTTCTAGAGTATTATGTTACGCTGGTATTCTTCCCCGGTCGAGCCGACCCATTTGTGCTTTAACTATACTTAAACGTAAGGAAAAATACCACCGTAAAACAGCAGCTCATCGCTGCTGTGTTTCGTATGGTGAGTGTAAAGAAACTGAAACCCATTTTACTGGAAACGAGGCATTCCATCTAAGTCCTCACGGGTGACAAAGCGTCTGCATTCTGATTCGTAAGCGAGGTCATGCGACATCCGTCATGTGGACTTTAGGGTCGTTTGTCACCTTTGACCTATAAAAATAATAATAATACACAAAACGTTGCCTGTGGTTGCTTTTTAATTATTTTTCATTTTTCGTCTTTTATGTATATTTGTGGTTCCGTTTATTTATTTTAAATGTAATTAGTATAAAATATAACTAATTGTACAGAAAAAAAAAAACAAAAACCTTTACGTTTTTCGAACAAATTAACTTTCCTGCTACAAAATCTGTCAAATATTACACCTAAATTTGATGTGACGCCGCGCCGCCCTGGTGGTGAAATAAGTCTATGATGCAGTTAATCTAAAAAAAATGATTTTTAACTTATTACAAATCTATTCCTTACACCAAGACCTACGTCCGTATTGTGGAGACCTTTTCAACCATATCCAGAACAATTATTGCTAGGCCATACAAACACTTATACCGTGCGGGATTTTAATTCGTTAAAGACATAAAGAAACATAAATTCTAAATGTGCAACTTGCTTTTACGAGCGAGACAAAAGAACATAAAGTGCGTTGTGGCGGTGTCGTGTCACCAGAGCGGTACCGTTATGACATTTTATAAAAATGACTGCATGGAACCCCAAACGACGATATGAAACGACGACGGAGCAATAGTCCTACAATTTAGCGCTTTTAGTGCTAGGTCCAGCGCTTTATTCTACTTATAGTGTCTAACATACAACCTGTAACCAATCGTGTAGCCTCGCTCTTAAGCCGTTTCTTCTTAGTACGGCAGCGATATAACATTTCTTGTTCGGTCTGTAACTTACAATGTTCAAACGCTTACCATAAAGAGCTAATGTTGAACACATAATACTTACAATCACAGAAATCTATCTTATTATTTAGATTTCTGTGCTTACAATAAAGACTTCTACATTATTCGGCGCGATGTGGATGCGACAGCGATGCGATACGACTTCGTCGCGACTTGAATCTTGTGTCGCATAGTCATTTTTCCTACATCCGCGAAAATTTTCTCCTTTTTTACTATTATAAGCCAGTGTTCGACTACTCAATTGCTTTTAAGCGGCGAGACTTCGGTCGGACACATACGCAGAATCCAGTTTTCCCGTAAAATTTCGAACGGAAAACTACCGTAGGTGTGTAACGTGTCCTTAATTTTATATGGACTTGCT